CAGGGTGTCCTGGAGGGGTTAGGGTGAGGCTGCATGGTCTCAGCCACAGGCCTCCGCGCGGACCAGTCCTGTGCACCCCTGGGCTGTCCTGAGCCTGAGGCACAAGCCCTTAGCACGGTCGCTGCACCCCAGGAGGGGCCCAGTCACACTGACCTTCACGCCTGGATGTGGCCTGGATGCCACTCGGAGTGCACCTCCTGAGACAAGACTGAAGCCCCGCCAGGGTTTATTTTGGGAACGCCCTTTCCCAGAAGAGTATTTTAGGGCTCCGGTGGCTGCAGGCGTCCCTGGGGGCCAGGCCCACGGAAGACTCCCAGGGAGGAACCTCAGGAAGGGCTTCTGCTGCCTGGGGCTCAGGCTGGTGTGGGTGCAGAACCAGCTCCCTGAAAACCCTGGCCTGGTCTGGTCCCCAGACCTGAGCCCTCTGCGATGGCTGTGGGTGGCCTCCAGGCTGGGCTCGCTCAAGCAGCCTCCCACTGTCAGGCTGGGCTGTAAGTACCAGGAACAGACCCGTGGCTCCTGTGAGTGCTTCACACCTGGCCCACAAGTACCCTGGGACAGAGGACACCGAGGCGGGGCAGGCTGTCCCACCCGTGGCCTGGGCTGGCCTAGCTCCAGTCTGTGCAGGGGCAGTTCGTGCAGCTGCTGGGCACTAGTGCATGCCACCAGTGTGGATGGCCTCCGAGACCATCAGCAGCCAGTTGGCCTCACCTGACCGAGAGTGGTGTGGATGGTGGCCCCAGGGCTGCCCTCATCTGCCCAGGAGAGAGCCCCTGGCGGGGGCTCAGGAAAGGACTCAAGCCGCCCTGACCAGCCTGACCCACAGCCGTCCCTGCCCACAGGCCCCTGGATCATGGGCCTAGCACCTGCATGTCCCCTGATGTGGAGAACCCACGCCCATGACCTGCCTGCTGGAGGCCCTCACTTGGGGGTCTTTGCCAAGAACACCTGGGCAGGCCCTGAGCTGGGCCCGGGCAGCAGGAGCAGCAGGAGCCGAGCCCCTAGTAGTGCCGGCCATGGGGAGACAGGCACGGGGAAGGTGGGCTGCCTCTGCTGGAGCCCCGGCCCTGTGGACCTTGCAGCTGTGCACCCGCCTCTCAGCCCAGAGTCAGGGCTGTGCAGTCTACAGTGGTACCCTCTACCCAGCCCTGGTGGCTGACTTCCGAGAGCTGCCCTGTGGCCGCCTTGCCTGGTCCTCACTTCCAAGCTGGCTCCACCAAGGTGCCAGGATTGTCCTCTCGCCCTGGGGCCACGCAGAGGCTCAGACATGCCCTCTGCCACTGGTGAGGGAGGCCAGGGACACCACGAGCACCCTCCCTGTCCTGCGTGCTGGACCGTCTGCTTTGGCTCTGTCACAGTTCCAGGGGGCTCTTCTCAAACACGTATTTAGGGGCCAGCAGGTGGTGTGGGAAGGGCGCTGGGCTTCCACATGACTGCCCGTGGTTCAAGTTCCAGCCAGGCACGGGTACGTGTGTGCCCAAAATCGTGAGATGCGAAGGGAGAGCAGCATGGCCACCCCTCATGGGGGATGATTTCTCGCCTTCTGTCTCTGTCTCTGTTTCTCTGGTGAGTGCACATACCCTATAGCAAACATCTCTCAATATTTTTTTTTCCCTATTTGTAGACACAATTGAGTGCACATGAAAATACACGTGTGGTGCCGGCAGGCAGTATAGTGGTTAAGGCACTGGATTCCCACATGGTCGACCGCAGTTCAAGTCCCAGACCTGACAGTTTGAAACATACCGGGTGTGTGTGTGTGTGTCTGTGTGCCGAAAATTTCAAGAAGAGAATGGAGAAGAAAGGATTGTGGTGTGGCCATCCCCCCAGGGGGTGATTTCTCACTTTCTGTTTCTCTGGTGACTGCATGCTCCCTACAGCACAAATCTCAAGAGCAGAGTGTATGAAAGAGGAGGGCCGTGCTGACCCCTCCCTCCCATCCTCCAAACCTTAGAAACTCAGGCACGTGGTGCTTCTAGCTGAGAGCTGGGGCCCTCGCCCAGGGTGCCACATGGGACCCAGCTTCTGAGCAGCATGCCACAGCTGCCAACCCCCCACGGCTAGTCGCAGTGGCTGCTGCTGTATGCAAGGCTGAGTGTGTGTGTACTTGCAAGAGGTCGGGAGAGCGCCCTGGCGGGGCTGGCCAGCCACAGCCCTCCCTCCAGCCTGTTGTCTCACTGGGGTCCTGACTGTGGCAGGACGGGGGGTCTCGCCAGGGTCCACAGAGGGCCCGGTCTCTGCATGGCACTTGGCCACCGTGCTGTGGGCTGGCCAATGACCCCTGTTAAGGAGTTTTGAGGATTTTTGTTTTATTTTCTAAAGAATTGTTTGTTTTATTTATTTAACTTATTTATTTTAGTTTGACTAGAGAGGGACAGGCTGAGAGAGTGAGAAAGCAAGCCGCCAGGTCTAGGACTCAAACTGCGCTTGGCCATGTGGGAGTCCAGCGCCCTAACCACCACGCCACCTGCCAGCCCGGAGTTTTTGTTTTTATCAGGTTTTACCCATGAAATTTGTGTGGTTGTTGGGTGTGGCCAGAGTTCCCTGGCGTCTCCCAGCACTGCTGTGCCCAGGCGTCTAGGCCCGGACCGCTCCAGGCAGGGTATCGACCCAGGGTGGGTGCAGAGCACGTCTGTGCCCCCCAAGTCTCTCTTGCCTTTTTTTTTTTTTTCTGAGAGGTTTTCGCTATAGGGCGCATGCGCTCGCCAAAAAGAGAGACAGAAAGCAAGAAACTATCCCTAGAGGGGATGGCCACGCCACAATCCCTTCTCCATTCTCCTCTCAGGATCTTGGGCACTCATGCACACGCGCCTGGTGTGAGTTTAAGCCACCGGGTCCAGGACTCAAACCATTGTCAACTACGTGGGAGTCCAGCGACATAGCCATTACGCTAACTGCTGGTCCCTCTCTTGTTTTCTCTTTCCAAGCCAAAGGGCGCAGGGAGAGAGCATGCATGCCAGCCTTCTCTGCTCCCCTCTGGGTTCTGGGTGCGTACACACGTGCTGCTGCACTTCCTAAGCTGCCAGGGTCAGGGCTTGGACTGCTTGGTCACGTGGGCCCCCCAGCTGGCCCAGTGGTATAGGCTCGAACCACGGTCAGCCAGGTGGCAGGTGGCCGCCTGAAACCCTGTGTGCAAGCATTGGCCACGCCTGAACCCTCCGCCAGGGCTGTGCCCGGCAGGCGTCTGTCACCTCCTCCCGAGGTCCCCTCCACCACCTCAGCTCTCCCGAGCTGGACTGATTGTTCCACACTCACCAGGCTCCCAGGGGCCCCACAGGCTCCCTTCCCAGCCAGGTACGCACGCAGGTGTCTGTGTCCCTCCCTCACATTCGCACAGCCCCCCACGTGTGCATGCAGGCACACACTGTGGGGTCTGGGTAGCACCACGCATTCCTGGGGACGTCATGGAGGGGTGGGCAGGCCTGGGGTGACCCTCGTCCTGGACAGAGAGGTGCCCTATGGGCCCAGGGCACCAGCTGATCAAGTGGATCTCCACCCCCACGGGCTGCCGGGCCAGGGCCAGTGCTCATTGGCTGAGAGAGTGCAGCCCCTGCCAGCCCCCACCCCCACCAGCCTGCTCCAGTCTCCTGGGGAGGGGACAGGGACAGGGCAAAGGAGGACAAGGGCAGAGGGACTCCGGATGGGGAGGCCATCAAGAGGCCCAGGTGACTGGCTCCCAAGCCCCCACCCCAAGTGCTCCTGGTGTGGAGGAAAGCCCAGACCCTGGGTGCTGGCTGGCAAAGTGGCCTGGTGCCCACCCATACCCCTGGCACCCAGGGTCTGGCTGGAGCCTCAGGTAGGTGCAGCTGGCCTGGCCCCCAGGCTCGGCCCCCACCAGCCACAGTAACCCAGGCAACCCCATTCTGCCTGCCCCCTCGCTTCCCTCCCTGCTGTGCCCGGCTGCGCCTGGGGGAGGCAGCAGGGCGAGGCCCCCCCACCCCGAGCCCAGCGCCTGGTGGGTGAATAATTCTATTTACCTTTCCCGAGAGGCCTCCTGTCCTCCCATTTGCTCCAATTAGCCCGGTTCTGCCTGAGCGGGTCCAGCCCACGTGGGCACCCCTCCTCCAGCACCCAGGGGTCACCTCCCAGCTCCTCAGAGCAGGGACACCTGGCCGGCTGCATCCCTACCAGGGCAGGGCCACCCTCGAGGGCTGACTAGAGTCTGGCAGGCCATGGTCTCCGCTCCAAGGTCCCAGTGCAGAGCCTCCATCAGACATGGGGCTCTCAGTGACAGCTTAGACTTGGCAGTGCCCCCTGCCCAGCAGGGGGCTGCCACCCCGCCCGAGTGAAGACTGGAGTGGGCAAGGGCCTCCATCACCTCACAGCCCCTGACAGTTTGGGGAGGCCAATCTCCCCATTTCAGCCTGGGAAGAAGGGGAGGCCGAGGCTCCCTGGGGACTGCTGGGGTCCCAGCTCCTGCCATGTGGGAGACAGGGACCATCCAAGGGCCCCTGGAGGGAATGCGCCAGCCCCTGAGCCCGATGAGCAGATGCCACGCCTTATGCTTTATTAGACACACGCTTCCACGCGTGGGACACAGGCTTGCAGGTCGCGACAGGAACGCCCAGCCCTTCCCCACCCTGCACAGGGAGGCTGGGCATGAGGAGGGGCGGGGCTGTGGTCCACTTGGCCCAGCACTGGTTCTGAGGTCCAGCCCCTGCTCAGGCTCGAGCAGGGATTCAGAAGGGACTCTCAGCCAGCCCTGGGAGGCTGCTAGCCAAGGGGGCCCTGGCAGACGGGTCCCGGCCCAGACCACGGCTGCCGTCACCCCACACCACCCCCAGCCTCTCACCGGGGAGGCGCGGCCGAGCCCGTGTGGCTGCTGGCACGCTGCTCCTCACGCAGAGCGATGCCCAGGCGCCAGAGGTGCCAGCGCCGCCGCAGCTCCGACTGCACCTGGGGAGGGAGGGCCAGTCCCGGGGCCTGCCGTCCCCATCCAGCATCCCAGGCCCAGCCCCAGGGCCCGCCGTCCCCCCAGCACCTCAGTCCCAGGAGCCTGAGCAGGGCCAGTGTGCCAGGCATGGTGATGCGACTGCTGGCTGTCACCAGAGGCCTGGGCATCCCCACTGTGTGCTCCTGGAGGACAGGCATGTGCCCAGCCGTCACTCTGGCCCTGATCTGGGCTGGGCTGACAGTCTCGGCCCCTCGTGACCCACCGACCTCCTTGTTGAGGAAGCAGTAGAGAACAGCCACCAGCAGGCCCTGGGGGGGAGAGGGTGGTCAGGGCAGCACCGGGCAGGGCCAGGGGAGAGGGTGGTTGGGGCAGCACAGCCAGGGCTGGGGGTGGCAGGGTGGGCACCTGGAAGGAGCTGAGGAAGAGGTCGAACAGGAGCTTGGCGGAGCGCAGGGTGCCCTGGGCCTGCTCATCGGTCACGAAGGCGAAAACCACCTCATGGACCCCCAGCAGGGGGATGAGGGTCAGTGTAGACTTGGCCAGCCTGCAGGGGTGGAATCTGAGCCACCCTCGGCTCAGCTCCGCCCACCCAGCCTCCCAGCCCTGCGCCCAGAAGGCCAGCCACACCCACCGGAACTTGTAATCTGTGTGGCGCATCTGCCTGGCTCGCAGCTTGGCCACCAGCAGGTGGACGATGCGGACAAAGATGACAAAGTTGATCTGAGAAGGCGGGCACGCGTCAGGGGCAGCCCTCGAGCGCCCCGCCTGCCCCTCCCAAAGGTGGCCTGGCAGCCAGGGGGCCCTGGCCATGGGGCCGGAGGCTGGCGGCCCCCTGCCACTTGGGCAGGCTGGCTGCAGACCGGGCACCGGCCGGCATCCTGGCCGCTCGTCAAGGCCCCTCTCACCCTTCTGGGGGATGCGGCTGCCCCCTTGGCTGGCCCTCGTTTTCTCACCAGGATGGCCAGGAAGACGGGGAAGCGCAGGATCCACCAGAAGGCCATGCTGCCGTTGCTGGTCCAGCACCTGTGGGACAGACCTGGCACCTCCTGGGGACCTCAGCCAGCCCACCCCTCAACTGCCCAAGCTAACCAGCACCCCAGGGAAGTTAGGTGGAAGGTTACAACCCCCACAGCCACCGCCACTCGCCCAGGTGCCCCACTCCCCGAAGCCCCGCGTAGCCAGTACTCACTGGACATTCTCGAACAGACACTTGACCACTGCCCAGGGAAGGACGAACAGCAGGGGTGCACCTGCAGGCAGCAGAAGTGGCTGTGGGCCTGGCCCGGCCAGCCCGCCTCCCCCGCGCAGCAGCCCACTCTCCCCAGCCGACGCCCAGGTAGAGGGTGAAGAGGCCCCTCTTGGGGAAGGTGGCCAGCCCCAGCAGGCTGTGCAGGTACACGCCCTCCACCAGCAGCCAGCAGTAGTTGGCCACGACGCCGTACTGCATGAACACGGCAGCTACCCGGCAGCCGGCCACCGCCTGGAGGGTGCGGCGTGGGCATGAGCGGGCGCTGAGGCTGGGACCACCCGCCCCAGGCCGGGTGGGGCCGCTCACCGCATCACTGAGCCAGGCGCTCACGCTGTGGTGGTCGCCAAGGTGCTGACTGTAGCGCGTCTGGAGCAGCCCGTCCAAGGCCAGCACCGAGCTGGCCTTGAGCGCGAAGGACAGGAACAGGTTCGCATGGACGTAGTTCCGGGTGCAGCGCAGCTTGCTGCAAGGCAGCAAGTCAGCAAGGGGACGGCACCATGCCTGCCCGCTGCAGCCGCCGCAGTGCCGCGGGCGAGCGGCTGTACCTGAGACCCAGCAGGGTGGCCAGGGCGAGGAGCAGGGCCCCTAGGGACAGGCTGTAGCCCACCGTGTACACCGCCTGGAAGCTGCTGTACATCGCGGCCACCTCCTCCTGCAGACCAGAGGCTGGTCGTGACTGGCCGTGCCCATCCCTGTGCCGCCCACTGCCCGCCGGGGGCTGACCTGCACCTCCATCTCCTCGTGGCCCATCTGGCACTGGGAGGCGTCACGCCATGGCTGCCCCCGGGGCCCACGCACCCACTGCCCGTCGGGCCCACACCTCTTGAACACCAGGCGGTGCTGCACTGGGGTGGGAACAAGTTCTGGTCACCCCGGGCCAGCCCTGCCCCCCGGCCACCCTGCCCGTGTGCCCGCTGGTTACCTTTGTGGTGCCAAGGCAGGTACCAGGGGCAGGAGATGTTGGCCGTGGTGTTGGGAGGGGTGTCGGGCCAGCAGGAGTACTTGTCGAAGGTTCTGTTACAGACCAGCTCTGCGGGGCAGGGGCAGGCCGGGGGCTCCTCAGCGGGGTCGGCCTGCAGGACCATCCTGGCCTCCATCCGGGAGCCCCGAGCGTCCTTACCGCCTCCTCGAGCGTGAGCCGGCCTCCTGAGTCTACTAGGTCTCCCTGGTCAGGTTGCCCACCTTCATCCCAGCTCTGCCCCGGCACTTTCCCACGGCGGTCTCCTGCCCCAGACCCACGTGGGGCTGCCCCTCCACAGCAGCTTCTGGCTCTGGGGGCTGAACCCTGGTCCCACCGCACCCTCCTAGGCCCAGGGCCAACCTGTAGACTCCACTCCCTGCTCCCCTCTGCCCAGCATGGCTGCCTCCCTTGTCCAGACCTGTGGCTTCCGGGTGGTGTGCCCGTACCGGGCCAGGCCTGGAGCAGGCGCCTGCCCGAGGACTGTGTTCAGCGGCTGTCATGGCCCACCAGGCGCTCCGGTGGGGCAGCCGGGTCTAGGCAGTCCACTACTTGTGACCACCTTGCCAGGGGGCGCACGGGTGCAGGCCAGAGACCTGGTGGGCTCAGGCTGCAGCCTCAGGGCGTGCTCACCGGTGGGAGGAGGGAGCAGGCTCAGGTTGTGCCGACACTGGTCCCCATACAGCTTCCACTTCTCAAACAGGAAGTCCATCACCTGGCCGAGGGGTGCCTGCGGCTGGAGCGGGTATGGAGAACTGGCTGGCACGGGTCAGGCAGTGGGGCTGCACCGGTGTGGGTGGAGGGCTGGCGCTCACCTGGCTGGCCATTAGTAGCAGCAGCAGCAGGGGGGGGCGGGACGGCTGGGCGGGGGGGATGGCCCCGGGGAGCAAGCCC